GAAACAGGCTCCTTGCCCTAACCACTTTGGTTCAATGGATAGAGCATCAACCTGCAGACTGAAGGGTCCCGAGTTCAATTCCCAGTCAAGGCACAAGCCTGGGTTGTGGGCTCAATCCCCAGTAGGGAGCATGTAGGGGGCAGTAGATCCATGATTCTCTTTCATCATTGATGTTTCTCTCTTTTGTCTCCCTCTCTGAAATCAATAAAAGAATATTTTAAAAAAGAAAGAAGGAAAACAGTCTACATAACTACTCTTAAGGGAAAAGGGATGGGGGAGGGTGAGCAGAGTTTAAAAGCAATACTGTGGGTGGTAGCAGGCAGAAATCAGGAGGGACCTTCCTCTTCATCTTCCTCTTTTTGTCTCTCTCAATTCCTAGTAAATAATCGTGTTGACATACTGTCTTAATAGCACCACTGATTTTTGTTCTTGTTCTAGCTCTATACTTCTAAGGTCACACTTCATTTTTTTTTACATGCTTTTCTTAAAGTATTGTTAGAATAGTTTTCACAAGAGATCAAAGCAAACATTTCTGAGTTGAAAACACTATTCTGTTTTTCATGTCATCTTGCATTCTCAGTTTAAGGGACTTCCCTAACTCTACATCCTAAGAACAAGAAGTGGTTAACTTTGAGTAGGTTGTTCACCAGTCACCCTTACTCCTGGAATCAATTTGGATTCAGACTGAGAAGGCACTATAGCTTTTCCTTTTTGTTTTTTTTTTTGTTGTCCTTTTAATGCTCACCCAAGGATATATTTTCCATTGATATTTAGAGAAAGTGGAAGGGAGGGAGAGGTAGAAAAAGAGAGAGAGAGAGAGAAACCTCAATATAAGAGAAACATTGATTGGAGGGGTTGCCTCGCACATGTGCCCCAAACAAAGCCGAGATCGAACCTGTAACCCAGGTACGTGCCCTTGACTGGGAATCGAGCCTGAGACCCTTCGGTACCCAGGCCGAGGTTCTATCCACTGAGCACATCGGCGAGGGCAGGCACTATACTAGTAGCTTTTGAAATCACTATTTAGGGTACCCATAGGCAAAAAATAAAATAAAAAATCCTGATCTAAATTCACATCTTCTATAAAAATTAACTCAAGCTTGTTACTAACTTAAATATAAATTAATACAGAGGTCCTCAAACTTTTTAAACAGGGGGCCAGTTCACTGTCCCTCAGACATTCCACACATGTGCACTGCGGGCCCAGGACGTGTCGGCTGCTAAGCAGGACAGGTAGCGGTGGCAAAAACACCCGGCGGGCCGGATAAATGTTTTCGGCGGGCAGCATGTGGCCCGCAGGCCATAGTTTGAGGACCCCTGAATTAATATTATTAAACTTTAAGAAGAAAAAAATCTTCAAGACCTATGGCTGGGCAAAGAGTTGCTAGACTTGACATCGAAAGCACAATCCATAAAAGGAAAAACTTAATGCCCAATGTGGTAGCATTAGGAGGTGGGGGCCTTTGGGAGGTGACTAGGTCATGAGGGTAGACCCCTCATGAATGGGATTAGTGCACTTGTAAAAAAGGCCTGAGAAAGCTCCTTGCCCCTTCCATCATGTGTGGTTACAGTGGTTCTCGACCTTCTGGCCCTTTAAATACAGTTCCTCATGTTGTGACCCAACCATAAAATTATTTTCGTTGCTACTTCATAACTGTAATGTTGCTACTGTTATGAATCGTAATGTAAATATCTGATATGCAGGATGGTCTTAGGCGACCCCCGGGGAAAGGGTCGTTCGACCGCCAAAGGGGTCGTGACCCACAGGTTGAGAACCACTGGGTTAGAACAAGAGGACAACCTTATACTGTCACTCTTGTAATGAGCTAGCTAATATTAATAACAGGAAGAAAGCACAGGAAGGCCAGACATTCATGGTCATCCAGGCAGCCTCACCAGGAAGCTGCCATTTAACACTCCCCACAAGGAGCCACGGATGCATTCCCTGCAGATTACTGGGGGAGGGGATTGGACCAATGGAAGATGGACACATGCACAGTGAAGTCAGGGTGACGTAGGAAAGACACTTGCCTGTCAGTCTAGCCTGGGGAACCATGGATTGGCTAGAGGGGGTGCAGACACTGCAAGCACATGAAATCTTAGGATAAAATTCCCAAAGCAATTCTCTCTCTTGTTCCTCTGGCCTGGCTCCTGCTTCCTTGCACTCGCCCATGATTCTCTCTCATCATTAATGAGAAGCTGCCTGGCCCATGGCCATATGGACACCCCCCCCACACACACACACAATGGACTCCAGCTGGGAACACAAGCTAAGCTCGCCTGATGCTGGACTGGACTGCGCAACAATGGACCAGAGGCTCTGGGCAGTGGCTTTAACCCTAGCTCTACTGAAGACACAGCTGGACTTCTTCCAAGGCAGGATGGAGGGAGAGGGGACCTTGGAAACTCAGGGGTCCAATTCCACACAGATAAGTATCACTCATTCTCCTTGTGCGAGTCTCAGAAAATCCCTGTTCTCATGACATCGAAAGAAGCCCACTTCCACTGGCAACAGGTGGGGACAGGAGGTCTCCCCACCAGTAACAATATGAACCAAGAAGTGGGCTCTTCGCAGACCAGAACGTGATCATGCTGGTACCCAGACCTCAGGCAGCCAGCCTCTGGAAGTGTGAGGAATACATTTCTGTTGTTTAAAGGCACTCATCTGTGACAGTTTGTGACAGCAGAGTGAATAAACTGAGATAGCAAGATAATTATACTGGGTGAAAAAATCTAATCTCAAAAGGTTTTATACTATATGATCCCATTTAGTAATATTTTTTAGATCACAAATTATAGGGATTGAAAACAGATTAGTGGCCTGGCCAGCATGGCTCAGTCAGTGGTTGAGCATTGATCTATGGACCAGGAGGTCAGGGCACCTGGCTGGGTTGTGGGCTCGATCCTCTCAGTGTGGGGCGTGCAGGAGGCAGCCAATCAATGATTCTCTCTCATCATTGATGTTTCTATCTCTCTTTCTCTTCCTTTCTGAAATAAATAATAAAAACAAAACAGATTAGTGATTGTGAGGGGTGGAAGGAAGTGAATACGGCTACAGAAGGATGGTACATGGGATCTTTTTGACAGAATTGCTCTGCATCTTGATTGTGGCCATATAAATCTACACGTGATAAAACTGCACAGAACTAAATACACAAAAAAACGCACACAAACAAATGAGTGCTTATGAAACCTGGTGAAGTTTGAATTAGGTCAGTAAATTGTATCAGTGTCAATTTTCTAGGTGTGATATTATAGGATAGTCACATCAGGTTTTACCATTGTGGGAAACTGGATGAAAAATATAGGATACCTCTGTATTATTTCTTACAACTACATACGAATCTATAATTATCTCAAAATAAAGAGTTTTTTTAAAAATCACTATACACTTCTTATTTATTCTAAGTGTCCTACCTTTCTAATGTTTCACCCATTTGATGCCTGATGTCTTCCTTGCCCAAACAATCTTGTTACTCTCTATAGTCCCAATAGTGAAAAACATTTCAATTTTCACTACAATTAGTAGTTTAATTCTTGCTTTCCAAAACCTCTCATTCATGGTTTACTATTACTAATTGGAACACACCCTTTGGAAACAACCCTATATTTGAATACAGATTCTTACATGGCATGAAATGGACAAAATACTTAATTTCTTAATTACCTAATTGGTAAAACAGGGGGAAAACCTAAGACACAGGTTTATTATGACGATTGAAAAAAATAGTATAAGCACTTGGCACACAGTAAGTAGTTCCTTAAATATTCACTTCCTTCCTTTTTCCATTAATAATCCAAAACCTAGCTTAATTTTTGGATGAAAACATCAACAAATAACTTTGGCTGTTGGTTTCCAAGGCTTATATTTGGAAAACAGGACATGCATTTTTTAAATATGTCTTTATTGATTTTTTTTAGAGAGAGAGGAAGGGAGAGGAAGAGAGAGATAGGAACATTGATGAGAGAGAAACATCGATGGGCTGCTCCTGCACACCCGCTACTGGGGGTTGAGGCCACATCCCGGGCAAGTGCCCCGACTGGGAATTGAACTGGCGATCCTTGGTGCCTAGGTCAATGCTCAACCACTGAGCCACACCTGCCAGGCAGGACGTGCATTTTTAATGAGCATAAATAGGGAGTTGGGGATGTGGTGAGCCTGAATTCAGTTCTTAAGTAGTATTTCAGTTTAGGAGACAGTAATGATCCTTTTAAGCTTATCTTCTCACTCTGATTTTCAAAACATTCTAATTATCAAAAATTATTTGATTTATAAATGTTTTAGCTTATTCATTTTATTGTGATTAGTGAGTGGCGGCCATATAGATGTTTAAATCTGTAAATAGTAACTGGTAATGTACTAGATTACTTCTCCCAGATACTAACAAATATATATGTTGGATGAGTTCAAGCCTTAAAAATGACATGGACACACAGCCCCTGGCCCAGTAGCTCAGTTGGTTAGAGGTCATCCCAATACGCCAAGGTTGTGGGTCCCAACCTCGGTCAGGGCACATATAAGAATCAACTAATGAATGCATAAAGAAGTGGAACAACAAATTGATGTTTCTCTCTCTCTCTCTCTTTCTCTTCTTTCCTCTCTAAAATCAATCAATAAAAAATATTTAAAAATGACATGGATACTATGGATAGAATTTCCATCCATTCAACCTCCTACAAAAATACTATTTATTTTTCTGTGTCTATAAGTTCTCATTGCTTAATTCCTTCGCCTTTTCCACCCAGCCCCCAACCAAAAATACGTTTTAAGTAATGGACACCCCACACAGAAGGTATCAGACTTTAAATATACCACAGATTTTTAGTGATAGCTCAACCAATTAAGCTACAGAGCAGGAAACATAGTATATTTAACTTCTATAGGTTACCTAACTCTGTTTATGAACAATCACAAGCCACAGAATGCCAAGAATTTAAACAAAGTCCTCTCAAAAAATTTTTTTAAAGTATTGATATAACTTTGCAGAGCAAATGCTTACCGAGCAAAATAACTTTGTTTCCGTTCTTTCTTCTCTTCCTTGGTATCCATTATATGAAGTTAAAAGTGCAAAGTATTTGGGGAAGTTCTTCTTTTTAATTAATGAGTCATAACCCTGTAATAAAAAAAGCAACAAAGCGACTATAAATTAAGACACTTAAAACGGCCAATATTAAGAATAAGGCAGAGGGAACCCATGTCCCATAATAAACGGAAGAAAAGCTTTACCAGTCAACACAACCACATGAGTCATATGAAGTACAAACGCCCATAGGGGACTAATTTTAATAAAAATAAAAGGTGGCTGGGAAAAGAAACTGAAGTGTTCTCCTCATAATTAACAATTATTTCAAAATGTGCTGAAATGAAAACCACAGGCTTTGGAAGAGCTTAGGCTAGCTATCAGAAGCTAATTTTTAAAAAATATTTAAACTCATAATCACTCTTTTCAAGTAATGAATATTGACTATGTCTCATACGTATGGAAAGTGGATCAGCTAGGTGTTTTACAAGAATGTTCTTCCTTTAAAAATAAAAATCACATCTCCGTTCTAGTTTGTTTTGGGAAACACGCCAGCGAGACCATCCCACTGGAGCAAACGTGGAAACGAAAGTGCGAAGCCTCTGGAAGCTGTTGCCAAAGGCTTCACCCACTTGCCTCTGCCTCTGCCTCTCCACCCCTGCTCCCTGCACCTACGCTTCCCGGGAGCACTTTAAACCTATAATACAAGGTTGTCTCCAGATCAGTCTTCCTTAAATACCGCTCTCATCCCACGGCCCTACTCAGAAATTCCCGGTGTCTACTTACTGCCTGATTCATGGACCTGACTTTTCTGCAGAGCACCAACCTTCCCTAAATCTGTCTTACACCCTAAAGGGGTATCGAAGTAAAAGCAAAGAGTGTGGAGCGATCAAATTATTTACCAATTCATTTCAACTCACTAAACAATGCACAATACATATTACATGAAAGGTGCTGGAATACGTACCAGAGACCAAAGATAAATGTAACATGATATTTGCCCTAATGGAAAGTACTGTCTTGCAAGGGAAACACTTAGGATTCCCAGTCAATGGGCTGCTTATGGAGAAGGCACAGGTGCCACTGGAGCCTAGAGGAAGAACACTCAGCCTTATGCACTCCTCACACACACCGAGATCTGAAGAGTGAGCAGGGGTTTCCTAGTTAAAGGGTACAGGGAAGCAGGTCCAGCTTGAACAAAAGCAAGAAGACAGTATTTCCCTCCTATGCTAGGATTACTAGTAAATGTGCAGCAGAGCACCTGTGGGAGCTGAGGATGAAGACATGGCCAACATCAGGTCATGGAAGACCCTTTATGCCACACTAAAAAGCTTGAGCTTCATCCTGGCTATGCATTATGTGCTGCCACCCCCTTCACGACACCAAGCAGTCACACGGAACCCAATGGCAGCCCTTGCAGAAGACATCACCAAATTGACCAGAGATGGTTCACAAGATTAAATATCTCTGATGTATATGAAAGGAAGCCACCATAGGGTTTTACATGAGGGAGTAATATATGCAGATTGTAGGAAATGGACTTAAAAGGATACAACATAGCCCTGGACGGTGTGGCTCAGTTGGTTGAGCACTGTCCCATGCACCAAAAGATCACCGGTCCAAATCCCAGTCAGGGCACATGCCCAGGTTGTAGGTTTGATCCCCAACTGGGGCATGTGCAGGAGCAGCCAATCAATGTTTCACTCACATATGGATGTCTCTCTCTCCCTCTCTCTTTCTCCCTTCCTCTCTCCTTCCCTCCCTCTCCTTTCTTCTCTCTCCCAAAATCAATTTTTTTTTTAAAAAAATGAAGCATGGGGTGAAGCAGATCTATTAGAAAGGAATCACAGTAAAACTACTTCAGAGAGAAGGCCCACATTTAGGTCGCAATATTTAACACAGGAAGAGGAGGAATAAATTCAAAAAATATTTAGGAGGGAGATTAGTTGAGATTTGATGACTCATTCAATGTAGAGAACATGGGAAAGGAAGAAAGGAAGGATGTCCGAGTTGTTGCTTCAGGGTCTATGTAGACTGTGATATCACAGATATGGTAGAATTTACATGAAGGGGTCAGACAGGGAGCATAAACAGATGAAAGAAGGTTCGGGACATGTTGTTTTGGAGGGGCCCATAGGCTAGTCAGCTAGAGATATTCACAAGATGTGTGATTACATTGAATGCAGTTAGGGCTAAAGAAATAGATTTAGAAATTACCAGCATATGGTTGTGGTTAAGGAGGGGGGCCAGGATGGTGATGAGAGCACCCTGAAACCATGACAACTATGCACAAGTCCCTGTATGGAAACAGTCTGGGGACACCGCCTGAACTCGTACTGCTTTATCTCCTCGTCCCTGACATGGGCTCCACCCTCAAGTTGACCGACCTGTAGTGAAAATAAGAGTTGTGCAAATAACTAAAATGTAGTAGGGTTAGTAACTTGGAGCTGTCCCAAAGACTACTACTGGGAATCCAAAGGACCCAAAGTTCAATTTTGATTGAGATGTTAAGGTAAATATTTCAGGGCAGCGACAATTTCAAGAGGCAAGGAGGACAAAGAGAGAGCATTCCAGAAAAAGGGAACACACCTGAGCACAGGTAAGGATGTGAACAGGGCAAGACACATTCAGGCAAGGACAACAGGGAGGCTACCAGGTAGGAAAAGCAAACAAATCATGATGCCTGCCTACTGTAAGTCATTTATTTTAACATATGATCTACGTTATCTCTTTTAATCCTTACAACCTCATTATGAGTTCGGTATCCATTAAAATGAGGCTGAGAGGCACTAGTTTCCTTAGTTCAACAGCAGCAGTGGAATCGGCACAAATCCAGTTTGGTGTACACTTCAATGCCTGTCAATAACCGCGCAGCCAGAAAGCATGTGGACAGAGCTAGGAAAGAAATCTGGAACCAGCAGCGTCCACTCTCTCAGCATAAATTCCGCAGGTTATGACAAATGCAGCTGGCACTGCGGGAGTGGGCCACTGAGGCCTCCGACAGGACAACATTGATGGAGAAAGGCCAGGCCTGCATGAATTACCCAGCTCGCAACCTTCACCTTTTACTCCTTCCCCAACTCTGAAGCAACTCCGCTACAGTCTTCCTTCTGACCAGATCTAGCACAAGGCCCGCTTCCGCTCTGAAGCCTTCCCTGACCACTGGTGTGCCCTTCTCTCTTCGTTAAGCTTATTTCACAGGCCCCTTATCACTTACCGGGAGGCACTTCATTACACTGGGGGACAACGGACAAGGACACCTCCCTTAGCCTCTTCCCCAGCTGCAACAGCTGGGGAAGTTCCTTCAAGTCAAAAACCACCATGTTTCATATTTTCTTTAAACTTTATACTAAATAGGTAACATAGAGCGAAGAAGAAAACCCACATAAAAGCCACGCAAGTAACTAATCTAGACTTGGGGTAAGGTCAATTATCTGGCACACTGATTTGTATCACTAATACGGCAAACTGATAGAAATCCAAGGATTCCTCCCAAATTCAGAACTACTTGGGGACGGGGGATGGAGACTCAAGCCAGCCTCTCTTGGATTCCAGAAAGCATTAGAATGCCAGGTGGTTTATTTTAAAGTTCCTCGCCTGCACGCCGCCATATGCGATGATTTCTCTTTATTAGATTTCCCCTCATGAATAAAAATGAAGTCATAACAATCTAATTGGAAAATTTTTATATTGCAAGCCGAGCCAGAAACGCATATTTAGTTCCAGTGGAAAAATATTGACAAAAATATGCACAAGAGAAAAATGATTGAATGATCCAAGAGCTGACATCTGGTGCTGCTGTATCTCTCTAGAACTGGCAAAGCTTTTTTTTTTCTTCTAATATATTCTATTCGATAAATTTAAAATATGCTAATCGTTGATTTCTTTTCAGTTTTGGGGAATTTTTATACTCCTTAAACAAGACAGATGCAGCCCTTTCAACTCTAGACACCAAAAGATTAACCAGAAAGAGATCAGCGAAGGATGCTATCAACCTGCTTTGCACAGAGCACCATACGGCAGCCTTCATGCTTCAGTGAAGAACCAAAGATCCTTAAATCAATCTCTAATGCGAACTACATTTTCCATTACAAGTGGTTATAATGGGCTTCTGAAAAGCCCCTCTTCCACCTACTGTTGACTTTTCCTCACATCAATAAACTCTTGACTCATCCAAGCACTGAATTACAAGAGTATCTTGCATCTACGGTGTATTACAGACCAAAAAGACTTTTATGAGGAAGCACTTCTATCTAAATATTTACTTTTGTGATCTTAAATCAGGATAGTCCACTTAAACCGACATCTACTTCATTATTCAAATAAAAATGGCACATCCACCATCCTTACCGCATGAGAGCGTCTTGAAGACAAAGTAGGTCTGGATTGCCAGCGAAGTGCTCCCTGTTTGAGACCAGGTGCTGCTACGCAGAAGGAATTGAAGCACAGAGCTATTGGGGACTTCCTAACTCCACCCAACCAGTGTGACCTGCACCATCCAGGTCACACTTCTGGCTTCACATCTCACACATTCAGGTATAACCAGTCCAGACTGGGGGGAAAACAGTGTATACTCATGATGTCCATCAACTGTTTTCCCTAAAACATGTTTACTATACAAATGAAAAAATGACAAGCACATACTTTGAGGCTTGGTCACACTAAGTTTGGCCATTTAAGGAACAGACCAAAATGTTTCTTTCTATGCAGACATTCCCTTTTAGAAAATACTCATAAAGAAATATAATGGCCCTAACTGGTTTGGCTCAGTGGATAGAGTGTCGGCCTGCGGACTGAAGGGTCCCAGGTTCGATTCCGGTCAAGGGCATGTACCTTGGTTGCGGGCACATCCCCAGTGGGGAGAGTGCAAGAGGCAGCTGATCGATGTTTCTAACTCTCTATCCCTCTCCCTTCCTCTCTGTAAAACACCAATAAAATATTTTTTTTAAAAAGAAATATAATGGGTGTTCAGTCTTTCTCAAAGCCACGCTATCATTTAAAATAACAAAGGCAGCCCTGTCCGGTTTGGCTCAGTAGATAAGAGCGTTGGTCTATGGACTGAAGGGTCCTAGGTTCGATTCTTGTCAAAGGCA